TTAGAAAAATAATGTAAATTACTAGAAGAAATACATCCTGAAATGATATTGTGTAATCAAATTTTTGTTAAGCGATACTGAATCAAATTAAGTTATAATTATATATATATATATATATAATACATCTGTATAAAAAGGGGACGAAATATTGTTATGAATAACTGGAAAAGCGATGATTTATATACGATGAAAATAAGCTCTATATAATCTTTCGCACAAATATTGAGAAAAATTCATTTGATGGTTCTCTTTTTCCATTAACGTTTGAAACTAAATCAGTTGTATCTGCCTGAATAAGATACTGCCAGAGTGATACCGCCCACAATTTCCCCGCTTGTGTAGTGGTTATTACATTTGTATCTTTTGTGATTGAAAAACAAAAAAGGAGAAAAAAGAAAAAAGAGAAAGAAAGAACGAAAGGAAAAAAGAAAAGAGAAAATATACTTAAAGTGATTCATGTAGATTATACAAATTTTATATAAAAGTGTATTTATGATATATATTATCACACAAGGATGAATTAGATGCGGTAAAGTTTCTATTCCTATAAACTACTATAATATTATTAAAATTAGATTTTAATATTACTTAAGATTAAGCGCGATCTATTGTATAATATTTGTATATATGATAAATAGAATAATAATATAAGTAAAATGGCAGATACTTACTGGCCAACAATAATAACAGTGAAAAAATAATTATCCTAATTATTTCTCAGAACCAAAACAATTAAAAAATGTATGAGAATACCCTCTATATTAGATAATGGTAACATGTACATGACTGCGGATTGTATATTCGTATGGTCAATAATTGTACTGTTATTTCTAATAGAATTATTACTTACTTATTAAAGACCTAACTTACCTAAAAAGAAATTTATTGCAAACTGTAAGCTTTACTTAGGATTGCCAAGAAGTAGCATATGCAAAGTATAAGTGCGATTGTACATAGGCAACATCTACCTATATCTACTTAGAGTAATATCCTAAAATAATAAACTACATGATCTTGGTTCTTAAGAGACGCAGAGATTTATATACATATGCGCAAAAATTTATATATACAAAAAAGAACAAAGATACAAAATGATACTTTATTATTGTTTTAGATTCATTCTACTATCATTTTAATACAACTTTTACAAATCAAACTAATTGGCTTTTATATAAATCTATTTTTACGATTACAAGCAAAGGACACTGATTTGTGAGCTTCTCGTACACAAATTTCATTTGTTTGTAATTCCTATTGTGATGATGATAATGATGATAATGATATATATAATTGATAATATGCTTTATTATATATATTGAGATAAAAAAGATAAAGAAATGAAATTCTCTAAGAAAGAATTTATTTTATAGAAGAAAAAAGAAAATACCTTATTGAAAATAAAATGGTTGCATTTTTATGTCTATGAACCTAGTTTACGTCACGTTTCAAATTGGCTTATACATATGTGTGGTCTTTTCGGTTCATTTATATACACAGAAATATTTTTAAAAAATTTCAAAATTCGATTATTAAAAATATGAAGACACTTTTTATACGAAAGAATTAATTACTTTGTACGATTAAAACATTAAAATCATTTAAACCTTCATTCCTATCGGGGTTTTCCCTCCTCTCGATGACGTAGTACCACTAGAGTCAAACACACTACTTTATCGGTTAAAAAAATTAAGAAATTTAATTATACGATTATTAAAAAAAAAAAAAAAAGAAAGTTTATTCATATTCTAAATCATTTTTATGTAGAAAGTTTCTTCATATTTTTAATAGCTCAAGTTTTATGTCTGACAATGAACCTTAATGGTTAGGTGTATATATTCGAATTGAATATACTATATGGTGTGTATATATGTGTATATGTATACATATATACATAAATTAATTCGCGAATACGTATTTTAATTTCAGGTCAAATAATAAATCTCTACGACTCTAATATTATATACTCTATAAAATGTTAGAGGGCTATATAATTTTGATCTTATTGTGCATCAGAGGAAATCGTTCGATTACAAAGAAAACAAAAAAGGATATACAATAATCATCGCCTTTTCAAAGGCTTGAGATATTTAAAAAAAAAAAACCAATTCGACACTGTATTTTCATGCGCAGTAACACAGTGATACTGATAATGTATAAAAGAAAAGAAAAGAAAAGAGAAAAAGGAAAATTATAGGAATTAAATACACACACAATATAATACATAAAGAATATTCCTTAGCATCAAATAGAAAAAATGTTTGGATATAGCAAACTTTATAGGAAAACGATCAATTAATAAGAATAGTAGATATCAATTTGCATTTCTTGAATCACCTCCAAACAGAATCATATCAACATTAATTAGATTCACGATTAAACGCATTAATTAAAATACACACGTGCTCGCGCATAAATGACGTAAATTTATTTGAAAAATTTACCAAAGTAAATAATAAGAATAATTAATGCCTTTGGCAATCGGTACGAAATATAACTGTGGAAGAATAATCAGTCTTAATCCCCAAACGCATACATATTTGCAAACATAAGTACATACATGCACATTAAGGAAATACTGTAATATCATTGGTTGCATCGCCGTAAGAAGGTAAAAAATAATACCAAGAACAAAAAATAAAACAAACAATTTTAATATGTACACGAAGACCAGTTTATAACATGTATGAGAGACACACATTGTTTCTTAAAATAACAGTTAGGAACATTCAATAAAAAAAAGCGATAAAATATCTATTGTCTGTGGTCTTTCTACATTTTCGATCCACTTTTTTAAGGTTTCTATAATAAAAAAGAAAAAATAAATAAAAAAGAATGAAATTATTTGAAAAATTAGGTCAATCGATGATTGGGTGTTGCACTTCGACGACATATTCGTAACGATTTTCATAAATATTCGATACCTTAAATATTTAAAATTTAAATTTTGTTCTAAAATCGATTTTAAGAATGATTGCGATATATATTTGTGATATAGTAAAAAAAAAATAAATTCTATTCTCTTCTCACATTCGATTAAATGGCAGCAAAATAAGCTTTTCTTGAGTACTGATTGTACTACAATCTGCTAAGCATCTTCCTCCATTGGTTCAACCTTTATAGATTACTCTAGTAAGGTGCAGCTAGGTAAAGGATTGACCTGTACCATGGAAACGCATTGACCAATCATATTTAACTAAAAAGAGATAAAACATCGTCGTTCCACGTCCTATCTCTTTTATCATCTATAAAGTTTTTATAATTCAACAATGGGATCCAGCTGTCAAATGAGTTCGATTTTTTATTCTCATATTTTGTAATATCATTATTTAAACATAAACAAAATAATTTTATTGTTGTCAATTCGTAATCATATATTACATAAAATTTATATCGAAGTCAAATAAAATTATCGAGAAAGATATGATAGGAAATCTTGCTGCCAAACTACGATTACTTTTGCCAGATAAAACAGTAACAGGTATATTTAATTTTTTCTTCTCAATTAAAAGTTATATACAATGAACAAATAATAGTGCAATAATGTTCGACGTTATTGTTACTGTAATCAAATATTTATTGTTTCTTAAAGAAGTTATATATTTCAAGGTAATTTATACTATGAGTTGAGTTTTTTCTTTACTTATTCACGTAGAATGTTTTGTTGTTATTCTTAATTTAATAGCATACCATAAGTACCAACAAAGTCTAGTATTTTCATTGGACTATCGCATTAAAAGGGAAATTTTCAATCGGAAACAGACAAAAGGAAACATTGTTGGATTGTATGATTGAAAAGGAAGTATTAATAAAAGTGCATTATAACTGTTCTATCAGTAAAAAAAAAGCAAGTAAAATAATAGGAATTACATGATTAGTTAAAAGTAAGGATTGTTCTGTTTATTTTTTAGTTTTCGTATTTTGTTTGTTCCTTTTTAGTTCTTCTATATTTTCTCGTAACTTACTACTTCTTTTTCTACTTACTGCTCTTATTTCGTTAACATTGACATTTATGGAACTAAACTATTATATTATTTGTGTGTATATATCTTTTGACGATTAACATTTTGCACTCAAAGGTTTTTTGTATTCATATTACCAACTACTTGTTTCTAACTACTAATTTTTGAGAAGAATAAATGAAATTGTTATGATTTGTTTTTATCATTATGTTAGGAACTGGAAATTATTTGTATTTAAATAAAAATGGTTTTGAAGTGGAGCCCTCGAGTTAAAAAACTCATTTTGAATGGCTTTTATTTTTTTAAATGTCAATGTTTTATGCAATTAACTATATCATAATAAAATTGTACAATAACTTATGCTTCTATTTATATCGTAAATATTTGGTAATACTCAATAGTTCTTATT